GCTACTGCTGATGCTGCTGCTGCTGCTGCTGCTGCTGCTGCTGCTGCTGCTGCTGCTGCTGCTGCTGCTGCTGCTAGACGTTTCGCGTTGCTCTACGGTTTTCTTTCTTTTTTTATTTCTCACTTTACTCTGCAGCAGCCTTTGAACGTTTGAAGGAGCTTGCAGATTATAAGCCAAGATTATATACAGATTATAAGCCACGCAAAAAAGGGGGCTGGGAGCAGCCAGCAGCAAGAAGCTAAATATAACAATGAGAGAAAGCGGATTGGCTGTGTGCTTTTCGCCTCAAGGGCGCCATCTATGGACCATAATCAGCTGAAACGGGTGTGCAGACCGAACCCAGAGACAATAGAACACTAATCTGTTCTAGGGACTCTGCCGAACCCAAATTTGGGCCAGATATGGCGGTGCTTCCTCTCCTTGTTATATTTAGCTCCTTGGCCAGCAGCAGAAAACAGTATACACGGCTGTGAATGAGACAATGTGAGGGGGCGAACTCTAGGAAGGGTTCAATGCTCTGACTCAATAGTTGGAAACCTGGATGACTAACCGCCACAATAGTTACGCTTCTTATAATAATATTGCACTGTTTTGTTCGTTTTAGCCTTCCAAGAATTACGTTGTTTGTTAGTTTTCCGAGCCAATCTTTTGCTAAACATGGCACTAAACATGTAAGGATTCTGATGTTTTTTTTAAAGAAAACACACGAATATCTGATTTTTGAGTACATTTTGGTAATTTTGTGTGACTAGGAAATGCTGGAACAAAGACAGAACAATACTATCACAGCAGTAGCAGTACTAACGTCAAGTAAACTTTAAAAATACACAGAGCTGTCGCGTACTTGAATAGTTAAATGTTACTCTATTGATTTTGCACTTGAAATATATTGACAAACCAATTCTAGCTACATATGTATTATGTATATACCCATAACTACCATAAAATAAGAGTAATATAAACTTATAATACATAATAAGATCAGTGCGGGCGTTATATACATGGTTATTATTATCCGTTTAGTTCACTAACAGGGTAGGCCTACATGCTAGCGCAACGATGTGCACACACGTGTGTGTGTCTCTCTCTCGTCATCTCTCTCTCTCTCTCTCTCTCTCTCTCTCTCTCTCTCTCTCTCTCTGCTCTCTCTCTCGTCTCTCTCTCTCTGCTGCTTCTCTCTCTCTGGTCTCTCTGCGCCTTCCTGCTCCCTCCCCCCCCCTCTCTCTCTCCTCTCTCTCTCTCTCTCGCGTGCGTGCGTGCTCGTCGTGCGTGCGTCTCTCTCTCTCTCGTCTCTTCTCTTTCTCTCTGCTCTCTCTCTCTTCTCTCTGTGTCTCTCTCTGCCTCCCTATCTCTGATCGTCTCGTCTCTCTCTCTCTCGTCTCTCTCTCTCTCTCTGCGTCTCTGCTCGTCTCTCTCTCTCTTTCTGCTCTCCTCTCTCTGCTCTCTCGCGTCTCTGCTCGTGTTCTCTCTCCTCTCTCGCCATCGTCTCTCTCGCTTGCGCTCGCTGCTCTGATGGCGAGTGCGGCGGCTGCGGCTGCAGAAGGCACTGCGCGAGGTTTCGTGATATAATGCGGGCCAGCAACGATGTTACATCTTATTTTTGAGGCTTTGATCGCCGAGTTATTACGGCTTGTGCTCAATCAGACGCAATGAACTGCAGCCATCACCCTCCGACGAATTCCGCCGCCCGCGCATAGCCGCGCGGGCCCGGCAAAACACAGCGCGATGCCTATTGCCCGCCCATCTATATTTTACCA